AAAAAAAAAAAAAAAAAAAAAAAAGCAATACATTAAAAAGTTTGGGATAATTATTTTTAAACCCTCCCCCCAATACACACACAAAGGCCTTCCCCATCCCAACTGGAAGCAAAAAAAAAAAAAAAAAAAAAAATGGAGTAAAGGCAGTGATAATCAACATGCAGTACTGTGCAAATAGGTCGTCCATTGGAATCCTTAAATTCTGGGCAGAGGCGTGGTCTGCAGCTTAGGTGCACATGCTCAGTTGGGTGTCCTCACTGTCCAATGTCGGCAGGACTGCAGTTCAAAGTCTGCTGCTAAAAGTGAATCAGTTTAGCAAATTTACAACACTGATGTTGACTGTTAAGAGAGGAAAATCCCCAGTACCAAACAAGTCCATCCAATGCACAGAGTACAAATTCCTTTTTTCAACAAAAAGTAGAAAAATCAAAAATACTCCCAAATGGGATTCTTGATGGCACTAAGAGTTAACACATTGCAGAGTTGTCAAAATGTAGTGAAAAATCCTCCAGACTGTACAACCAATGGAGAACGATTTCACTGCTAACTTTTGACGTGTTTTGTCTTGTGTGCGCCCCCCCCAATCTTCACGCTCTTGGGGTCGGCCTGCCCAGATGTTCACTCCACGTCCTCATGTACTGGTTCGTCTTCGTAATCTCTGTCGTGGTCAAAATCTGGACTGTGGTTGGCTGTTGTCACTAGGGATAGCGGCCCTTCAGCTTCCTCTGGATCCAGGGGCTCTTCTTTGACATGTACAGGATGCCTGGAAAGACAAAAGAAGGTTCACCGTGGGGACTTCCCAACGCAAGTTACGTCGGGGGTTTTGGGTAACACAAAATCCCCAGTCTAGAGCTGTGATGTTCGACACAGCAGCCACCAACCACGTGCGACTATGAAAATGAAGACAATTTAAAATTCCATTTCTCAGTTACACCGGCCACATTTCAAGAGCTCAAGGGCCACATGTGTTGGCTAACGGCTACCATGTTGGATAGCACAGAGGGAGAAATTTCCATCATCACAGAAGGGTCTCTGGACAGAAGCATCAGGGGGTGTGTCCTCCTCCCGTGGTGTTTCTTACCCTGTAATGTGCACACAGATTCCCGTGGGATCTGGTGAAAATGCAGCCTGTGACTCAGCAGGTTTGGGGTGTGGCCTGAGCCTCTGCATCTCTGACCAGCTCCCCGGTGATGCTGCTGGTCCGAGGACCACCCTTTGAGTGTCAGCTAACAGGCCCCATCGTGGCCTGCTGGGTGGATGAATACAAATCTTCCAATAATCCCGTGAAGCAAGAATCGGTTAACGCAACAGTGGTTTGTGGGGGCCCCTGTGTGCAGGAGGCTGGGCTAATCACGGCTTGCTGTGTGTTCTGCTTTGCTAGTTAACATGCAGAACCTGTGAAAGAACTCTCCGGAGACCGACCCCAAGCGAGGGTCTATCATTAATCAACTTCAAGCAAACACAGCAGAGAGACACCATGATACATGCTGGAAACTCCAAATTAATGCATATTTTTACAAACTGTCAATAAGGCAAGAAAAGCCCTGCCAGGGAACACAAACGGAGAGGAAAAGGCGCGCTCAACACAACAATATGATAAGAAAGCAGAGCCCCGATCAGAATAATAACGCTGTCAGCTGTAAACAAGGCAAAACATGAGGCCCGGCTGGTAGCGGCCACCGGGACGTGGGGCTCCGATGAGATCTGCCGACTTGCTCATTATAGCCCAGCGCACGGTTCACCCGAAGGGGCCTGCGGGGGACCACGCGAAGCACTCCGATAACAATTGAGAAATGTTGTTCCCAAATCATATTTACAACCGATCCTTTGCAAATACAAATTACCTTCGGTGGCGGGGCTTTTGATACGTAAAAGAACCATTCAGGTTTTTTCTTTTAAAAGAGAAGTCCCATTGCAGGAACGGGCCGCAGAAAGGAGGATTTTTTTCATTGACGTTATCAAGTATTACTAGTAATAAGAGGAGGTGCTGGGGATGGTGGCCTTCCTAAATAACTGATGTTGTGTGCAAACCCCAAAGGCCAACTTGAACCCTTGAAAAATCAACAGAGGAGTGCTTTGGACTGCCCTTTGACGCGGGATCCTCTAGAAGAGCAACTGACTGTAAAATGAGCACAGCCTAGAGAGTGTCTGGGGGTAGATGTTGGGATAAATAGCTTTTTAAAAATAGGGCCCGGGGCTTCCCTGGCGGCGCAGTGGTTAAGAGTCCGCCTGCCGACGCAGGGGACACGGGTTCGAGCCCCGGTCCAGGAAGATCCCACGTGCCGTGGAGCGGCTGAGCCCGTGCGCCACAACTACTGAGCCTGCGCTCTAGAGCCCGTGAGCCACAGCTACCGAGCCTGCGTGCCTGGAGCCCATGCTCTGCAACGAGCGAGGCCACCGCCATGAGAGGCCCGCGCACCGCAGCGAAGCGTGGCCCCCGCTCCCTGCAACTAGAGAGGGCCCACGCGCAGCAATGAAGACCCAACGCAGCCAAAAATAAAACACAAAATAAATTTTTTTAAAAAAGCAAAAAAACAGCAAACCATGAAAAGAAAAAATAGGGCCCGTATTCTTACAACCTATGTGCAAAACGAAATATACCCAAGTTTCATTAGAGTAGAGTATGTTTTACTAGTTTGGCTCCATCTAGCTTTAGTTTTGTAATGGGCCTATTTACTTGTGTTTCAGCATCAAGATCCAGGACCGTATGCATAAGGTGCAGAGCCCAGTGCAAAGTGAAAGTGTGTTTGAAAAAGTCGTTGAGGATTTCGGAAACAGCTGAGCGTTAAAACTCTTAAGTGTGGGATCCTGCGTGACTGCATACATCGGCGTTGCCTGGGAAGTCAGCGCCGGTAGGACTCCCTATATTGTTTTGGGACGAGTTAGGTGTGTTGATTTTTATTCCTTAAAAAAAAAAAAATATATATATATATATATATATATCTCACCCATAAACTCTAATTAAGGTAGACTTTCTTGGTTTTGCCTGTCTTCTCCCGTTTGGGGCCGTGTTTTTACATATTGTACATGTAGCAAGAATGTGATTATTTTGCTACCTTTACAGTTTTAATTGTTATGGCTATGAGATCCCAGTGTGATGACATTAGTCCCTTAATACTGGGCATTTGGGGGTTGTCTTTTGCTCACCCCCACACCCCGCCCCCGCCTTGATCTTTGTATAACACAGTGACCGCTTTTATCCATATTTCTGTTGGTTTACCTCCTTAGGATAAATTTCTAAGAATAAAATTGTTGGAGCGGAGGCGAAAACATCTTCCGGTTCTTATGATTTAGTGCGATATTAACTGCCAAAGAAGCTTCATCCATAGACTCAACCTCATCAGCCCCAAGCGCTGCTTTCTGAGAACATCGTGTTGCCGAGCAGGTACAATCAGGAAAGCTCAGGTTACCGTAAACGGTGTTTGTTTTTGGATGACTGACAACGGTGAACATCTCTTCACGTTTCAGTTTCGTATTTGCACCATTGAGAACTGTTACTTCAAACATTACCCCCCTCCTGTCCTCTGGTAACGTGGTTCTTGTGACACTGATTGGATAGGAGTGTTGCTGGGTTGTATGTAGCCTGGATTGAGAGTCAGCTGTTTCCCTGATCAACATTTTCCTATTTTCATTTTTTTAAACTACCAGATGTATTCATCTTTTCTGGTTTACAGAGCTGAATTTGATGACAGAGATGATACAAGGCTATATGGGTGGGAGGGGTGCTGGGCCCTGGAAGAGACTGGCGAGTCTTCATGAAGTTCTTGCTTTGTAATTTTAGACTCGGACAAATGTTTTGCCAGGCAGAACAAAACAAACAAAATCCCCCCACCCACCCACCCACCCAGTCCCGCCAACAAGGTAGAGTTCACGGGAGAGAATATTTTGTTTTCCCCTGAAATCTGCAACCCAACTTCAGGACGGTTATTTTCCGTCCCAAAGACACAGGTGACGACCCTATGCATGCTGGCTCAATCCCAGCACCTACTGCCCAGTGGAAGCCCAGCAAAGGTGAACTGACCAGGTCTACAGTGTGACAACCTGACAACACAACCAGGTGAGATACTAAGGCTTCTTAAAACTCCACAGAAATGAAATCCAGCTTCACGACGTTTCGTGATACCAGCAGATCCCCGCCCCCCGGCCCCCTTCCTCCCCCGAGGTGGGGCAAAAGCAGTAACTCAGGCATGCAGGGCTTTAAAAGAAAGGAGCTCCATGCGAGATCCATTTCAGGAAGATGGAAAATGGCGAAGAAAATTTTTTTTGGGGTCCCCCAGGGGGCCCCTGGGAGGTGGGGCCCCCCGGGGCCCCTCCCCCCCTTGCGGGCCCCCCCCCCCCCCCCCCCACCGCCCAATGCCTTTCTCTCCGACTCCTGCTTCCGAAAGGGCTCCCAGTGAATAACTGCAAAGCCCCACATTTCCTTTCTTACATCTGAGTAATTCCTTTGTTTAGCTACTCTGGGAACAGAAGAGTTTTTAAGGCAAGCTGACTGGTGTTTAAAGGCACAAGTGTTCAGAGGGTGTGGGCACAGCATGGAGTATTTTGCTTTGTAGCTCCTTTAGCCCCATCAGGATAAAAGTATAAGGCCCCAAAAGCCATAATTATGTGACTACTTTGTAGCGTTTGTTTCAAGAGACAGACAAAAATGTTGTGGGGTTTGAGTGTCACAGAAAGGGTAAGAAGTTCTATTTCGACACTCGATGGTAGCTGGGCTGCCTCATTAACCGAGGCCCTTTAAGCCTTGCTGTAGAGTTTATGGCTGATTTATTCCCAGAGAACAGAACAGGTGAGAAACAAGTTGCATCATAGCAGGGTAATGCACGTTGGACAAGAAGGAAAACTACGTCATTACAGAATTTGCTTAATGGAAATCTGAGATCAAAGAGAGTTAAGCATCTCTCACAAACACCGAGAGTAGGCACAGGGAATATGGGCTGATGACCAACAATTATTTTTAGCAAAATCCTTTATTTTAGTGTAAACCTGTGAGATTTGAGCAATAAAACAGTATGCTTTGGGGCATCTCTATGCAGGGTTTCTTAAAAACAAAACACACGCACGCACACCAGTACAACCTTCATTTCGTTAAAAATTAGGCTGATTGCTTGCTGTAAAGCAAGGCTTCTGGTAATACTTGGGGTTAACTCGAAGTCTGAAATAACTTTATAGTGACTCTATCTTGTACAGCAAAATTAGCCTCACTCTAAACTGCTGCGAGAGGTTTTTACCCAAATACCTTTTTTAAAAAATTTTCTTCTCTTTCTTCAGCGATCCTTTTTACTATAAATAATAGGAACACACATCAGGTAAACGTCAGCGGTCTGTGGATACTATGACAGACAAACAGTCTCTCTTCCACTCAGTAACTTCAGATGCTTTTGCTCCAGTAAGTATTCCTTGAAGCAGCGCACACGCCAATTTACGTGTGCTCTGAACTTCCTTAATAGCTTAGTAAAATACTCCTGTGGTGACCACGATTTTGAGATGAATACGGGTGTGATAATAAAGTCAGAAAGACCAGGTTGCTTGACGAAGGAAGATCGATGGCAGTAGCGGCGTGAGAGAGAAACACATTCTTAAAATGCTGTGGAGTAAATGCTAAGAGACTGTTGATGTAAATTTAAAACGATTATTTTCATCTTTAAAGGTCCTTTTCAAAGCACTTTGGGCATGCAATTCAAATGCTAAAGAATCAAATTTCAGATTCCTCCAAACCCACCAATTTACCCATGCTGGCAGACAGCATTTTGCCTTTGTTGGTAGGTGCCAGTTCATGCTCTTGCTAACTGCCACAGGTCATATTTTCCATTCTGATCACTCAAATGCTCTTAAAATAAGACGTTGGTCAGGAATTCAGAGACGCTGCGTAGACAAGGGGTTCGCTTCTAGGAGCTGACAGCATGGTCAACACTGAATAGGTTTATCCCTTCAAAGCGGGCAGCGGGTTTCGCAGAGACTCGCTCAAAGCCAGAGGCTGTCATTCGACAGCATCCCCTGCCAATCCTCTCTGGGGAAATGTGCTTTCTTTGCTCTTTTAAGACTTTTCCTGGGAGACGGGGAGTCGTTACCGTCACCCCGCCTGCCTCCCATCACCCAGCCAAAAGGGGCAGCACGCACGGCCCCGTCCGTGGTGTGCCTGGTCCTGACGCCACGCACATGCAGCCTGGGATAGCCCTCGTGCCTCACTCCGTACGCTTCTGGGCGTGCTCATTACACTGCCGTCTGCTGCTATAACGCTCCTGTTAATTTTCCTTTTGATATTTTAAGAGCAATCTATAAACCATGCCGCCTTTCGTTCGTGCCATCGTCAGTGCTTGGTAATGACGCTTCGGCGTGGCGTCCGCGCTTCCGCGTACCACATACCCAAGTAAACGAGCATCCTTTGCCTCCCCGCTAGCTTCGGCCCGCCCGCACGGTGAACAGACAGCGAAGAACTCTGCCACCGGGATGCGTTCTACTGCTATAGGAGGAAAAGGTAAGGTGGCTGCGAGAACGGGCGAGCGAAGGCCAAAAGCACAGGTGTCACCCATTGTATGGCCTTGGGCACTCGTGGGGCCGCGTGAAGCCTACTGCTGTAACGGGAACGTCAGTAAACGGCCCTCCTAGGTGCGAACCGAGCTGCAGGTTTCTGGACGCACCCACTTCTATCTGGGTTCTAGGAAATCAGAAGTTACAGAGAAGGTGTCAAAAGCCGCCAGAGGAGAAGGGGCCGGTGTGCACCTAGAACAGGGGGACCGGGACGTGACGGCAAAGGCGTTCCGGGGTGGCGGGTACTCACACGGCTTGCATAGGGGATCTGCCCGGGCTGCTGTCGCTCTCGTTGCTGTTGGTGTGCTCCATCGCCCCGTTCAGCTCTTCCCGTATGGCACTGGCTAGGTTGCCCAGAGTGGGGTTTCCCATGGAAGCGGTAGTGTATAGAGGTATACTGTTCTCAGCCATCGAAGCCTGCCATCAACCGAGAGAAGATTTATGAAGACAGGGGTGTACACAGACGGGGAAGCTATCAATTACGGGTGGATTCAATGATCTTCGGTTTCACGTCATTCTGGCACGGGTTGGAAAAGACAAGTTTCTAATAGGTGTAGAAGGATTTGTGCTTTACAAGTCAGGCTGCTGACACAACGGCCCAGGCTGGGTCTCAGAGAGCTAGCTGGAGGGACCAAAGCGCCCGTGGGGAGGGAGGGCTCAAGTCAGCCCTGCTGGGTAGAGGCATCTGGGCTTAGACAAGGCTATCTACCAGTAACGAGGTTTCTGTCTGATGCCTTTTTTCAAGAGGAACGGAACATTTCTAGATCACAGGGACATATGATGGAATTTTCATTTCTTTATCCACTTCGATGACTGACTCCAGTATTGGATGTTATTAAAGATCTGAGCAGATTACTCGGGCCACAGAGCCCAAACTGAGGAGAACTTCCATAACCATCTGTCTTAGAGCCCTACAGAAAAGGCAGAGATTATAGAAGTGGAATCCGTTTTTATCTCCCCGCCCCCATCATTTCCACTGGAATGAATTATTTTTGAATCTTTTTAGCGTAGTTTTCAGATAATAACTGGTTGAACGGTAACTCTAGGTAATCTTTCAGGCTCTGACCAATCACCTGGAATTGGAGGACTGAAGAAGAAAGAAATCTCCGGCAAAAGGAAGCTGTAAATCGTATTTCCTTTGGGTATGTAAGTACATCCTTACTGAAGGTGACAAAGTCCCTCCCTCCAAGCGAGTGTCAGCGACAGAGTGTGGAAGTGGCGGGGAAAAGAAAGAACTCCTCAGCTCCGTGGTGGGATACTGCTCATTGTTTTTATCCTACTGCGGTTGAATAGAACGACCGCCCCAGTCCTGAGATGCGGACAACAGTCAGACATATCACTGGGCTGAAGTAGCCATATTGTTGCATTTGGGTCGTGATCCTGACCCAGTGACCCTTCATTTTATTAAAAGAGGACAGACGTTCAAAAACTGGCGGCTGTAACTGGACCCAGATTTATCAAAACGGCCCTCTTGCAGACTACAGTACGCCTGCCTTTCCATCCTAATGAGGAAAAAAGTGCAAAATCACAAGACAATCTGGCGTGGCGACTCCAACTGGCCAGCCATACACGAGTCCAAACTGGTCTAGAAATCCTGGCTCTGGTGAGACGGTAAGAGCCAAAAACCAGGAGAGGACGCGTACAAAGCTGGGCTGCAGAGAATCCGCCTATTAAGACAATCGCAGTCTCACTCGCTGTACAAACTCCAAAGCCAGAAACGCCTTAGCCATCCCAAGCCCCGCGATGGATGCCCCATCCACACCTACCGCAGCCCTGGCTAAGGGACTACTTCAAAGGCAGGCCCTCCGCAAGCCCACGGCTTTCCCTTCCCTTCCCGCCACTTCTGAATTTATATAACAACTGCCTTCTTTTAAAAAATGGAAAAAAAAAAAAAATCCTGTTTTCATTTCCAAATGTGGTGAACTCATTTTGATGAACAGCACATCTGAACATTCCTCACGCTCCTGCAGTTTGTCAAATAATTTGCATCAAGTACTTTTTTCAACAGATCTCTTGTGACTGCAATAAAGCACTTTTTTCTTTTTTGGCAGAGCGAAAAGACAGACCCGCTGCCCGATTTTTTTACCCCCGCCCCAAGGTGCAGCTGGACAAGCATCCTGACTGTCTTTGTTTGCGACAACACAGTGGTCCTGCCTCTCCCCGACATGGAAGTTCTGCTGGGACCATCATGTGAGTCTCTTTTTCCTGGAAATACCACAAAGCCATTTCACTGCTACAGTCAGAATGTGGCGAAAGTGGGGCCCCTCTCTAGCTTGGTATTTTTTCGCAGCTTCTCAAGTCAGTCAGAGATTGCGAAGTAAAAACAAAAAGGGAAATGTTTCTAAGGATGTAGTCTTTGGGACGAGCTGGTCACGTACAGGGCAACCTCTTGGGGATGTATTCGTTCTCCGTGGCTCTTAATGCGTTCTAGGGCAAAGCTATTTCCCATGGGGACTGGATCATAAAACCTGGGCTGACAGTGGTGAAAGGCATCCCAAGGTAAGCATTTTACACTGATCCCTTGATTCTCAGACAAAAAAAGACGTAAATGAAAAAAAACCAGCCTGGTCGCCTTTAAAAAAAAATGATCAAGTGGGCTGCGTAGAGAAACCCGGTGGCTCCTTCACAATAGAGCCTCTTGGACATTCTCTGAGCGACGGAGCAAAGCAACCCACCCGAGCTTCGAAAAATGTTCACCAACGGCTTCGGTCTAACCTAGTGGTTCTTTCTTTTTTGGTCGTTGATGTCTATTTAGGAGAGGGGGCCGGGGCGGGGGGGAGGCTTACAGTTTTTATAATGGACCTAATTTTATAAGTGGTCCTATGCCCACAGTATGTGGTTTCATATCACACTGGCCCCTCTGCCAGAAAAAAAAAAAAAAAAAAAAAAAAAAAAAAGAACAAAGGTCCTTAAGTCAAGGTGCAGAAGTCCCTAAGTCCTGTCCCTCTTGGAATGTTTGTTAACCGCTCTGAGACGCCCGGGGGAAAGGCAGTCTATAAATACGAAGCTTTACGGTTACCCTTAGTTACTTCACTTTTTCAGAGCATACTGCAATCTGTCCCGAGTCCAATGTTTTATTTCTGTAGTGGATTCGGCTGTCCTATTTTATATATTGTATATCACGCGTTATGTTGCTCTAGTAATCTTTTGAAGATGTTGTTCCACTATTATTTTTACTTGCCTTGAAAAATGCAAGTGGGCGGGAAGGGAAGGCCTGCTGGTAGACTCTTTATTTAATTTGCACAGCAGAAAGTTGTCCTAGGGGACTGTCTACTGACCCGGGACCCAGACTCCTAGAGGAGAGGAAAAAGATCCGTTCCTCAAATCATGACTTGAGATGCACGTATTCACCTCACTGCAGGATGGACACCAAGTGTTCTTGGAAAACAGGCAGGAGAGTTTGGGGCTATGGCTGAAAATAAGAAAGGGTGCAGAGGAGGCCAGGAGCAAATGTTTTAGAGGTGAAACACGAACAGTTCTGTAATGATAAAGCCTCCTAATTGACATTAGTCACAGAGTCAAGAGAATCCAGAGGATGGAGGATCACCGTTGCCGGTGGGTGGTGGCTGTTGTGTCGTCGTTGTTGGTTTTTTTTGGCCCTGCCGCCTCATGAATGTAAAATGTGCCTGTGATCTTAATACGATTCCAGATAGAGCAGCCTTTAAATTCATACTTTACAACACTCCAGGGAAAAATAGTTACTAATGAACGGTATTTACAGTGGCAGCATCTAAGCGTGCTTTTTATTTGCTTTTCGAAAGTTACTGTGTGAACGAACACACACACACACACACACACACACGAAAGCTAAGGTCAGTGAATTTGCCTCTGAACTGAAACTGCGTAAGAGGCGTATCATCCATCCTCCGGAGCCTTGAGCTCCTGCTGACCGGACTGGGAAAACGGTTCTCCAGGGCGCAGGGGAGGTGCTCGGCAAACCGTTGTTAAACAGGAATAGCCAGAGCTCCCCTCCCGATCGCCTCTTCACTGCACTCTGTTCCCCTCAACGCTGAGCGTCTCCACCGAGTTTGCATCATTAGCGTCCCTTAAGGAGCCTTTTTTACACTTCTCTCATTTGCGCCCTTCCCTCACAAAATTTTAGTAATCTGTTTGTGCGTTACAGCCCTTTGCAGGAGCCCATGACGTTGTCATATTTAAGTATCGAGAACGCATGCTGCAGAGGTCTGTCAGTCACGGGCTAGGATCACATACGTCAGATCTATCTGTGTAGACTGTTGGCATTTAAGTTACCGAGACCCCTGTGGACTGCGGTCTAGAACAATCTAGGTGGGTCAAAATCCAACAGGACCACGGACGGGCCAAAAGACCCTGCCTACCTACGAACTCTGGAGGGGGGGGGGGGTACCCAGGTAAACCTTAAGGAAGTGTACTACAGTCTTCTCTTCGACCTGAGAGATGACTTTACTGTTTGTTGGGTAACGGAGAAATACGCGATAATTCAAAGGCTTGATGGATGCCAGGGCTGCCCCGGTAACTCACGTTTGGGTGGTAACCTCCCTCCTGCTCAATCCCCGTGGCTTCGTCCCCTGGCAACGCCGGTTACGTAAGGAGGGCTTGGTTTGTCAGTAGGAAACAAACGTTCTGCGAGCTTATTACGTAACCTTGAGCAATCCGCTGGAAACCTAAAGAGTCTCTCCTTCAACACCTCTATCGCTTGAACAAAAACAGTTTACTTTTTACCAAGCGAACCGAACCCCACCCCCCGCTCTCCCCCGTGAAAAGAGGCCAAACTGGACTTGAAAAGAAAAAGGAGCAGAAGTTTAAGAAGAAGAAAAAAAAAAGCCCTGCTTTCTCTTTAAACCCGTGAACAATAGAAGGTCATGTGACACAGTGGCCTATCACCCGGCACATTAATAGCTGTGCTAGAGTAATTACACTTGTGGTATTTTTGCCTCAAGTGAAATTCTGAAATAAGAGGATGGAAATTATGATACTGCTGATAAATATTAATAAGTGAACTTTTAATTTTTTTGCCACAATATTCAAAATGCTAAGCATCTTGCTAATGCTGAAGCAGCCCGACGTGCCTGCCTCCAGGGAGTACGATGCTTTGTGCACTTAAGAAAAAAGTTTAACGGAATTAAAATTTAATATCTAATTAGAGCGAGGCTAATATATTTTGAAATGAGTGCGGGAGCCATGTGCCTCCGCGGCACAGTCCGGACGGCCGTTCATCTTACCTGTAAAGCTGCATTGAGAGGTGTACAGTAGGCGTGGCTGGTCTGCATGTTTTTAATAAGGGAAGGGTTACTGCATAAGAGAAAGATAAAAACTCAAAGTTAAACGCAATCAACCCCCCGAGTGTTTTTCGCGAAGTCTCGTCTTAAGCTTGCCGCTATCTTTCCAAATCAATCAGAAATGTCCCCCAGCCAGAAGACCAAAGAAAAGGTGGGTTTCCCCCCCCCCCCCCCCCCCCCCCGCCCCCGCGCGCGCTGGCTTTGTGGGGGCTGCTCTGTGTGAACCTCCCCGCCCCGGGGTGGGAGAGACTTTGCCCGTTCAAGCAAACTGGGGGTAAAATTTTGGATTAAGTAATCATCGCCTCGGGCACTCCCTCCACGGATGAACTTTTGTCTGTCTCACAAAACAGCGACCTCCCTGTAAACGGGTAGTAACCCGCCCGGACTCCAGCAGGAAGGCAGATGCTCTAGGGCCTCGGGCTGGGGAAGTCAGCGAGCGGACCGGCAGGGTTTCCTGGGAGCCAGCGGGAGGAATCTTGCCTCTTAAGCTTCTCCAGGATTTGAATTCTAGAATGAATGCTAGAGGAACGGCAGGGTAGCTCCGAAGAAAAGATCTTCAAGGCTCATTTATTGCCAAAAGAAGATGGAGAGAAGGCTACTCCAGGGGAGGGTCAGGCAGCCGAGGTTGGGGTTCCAGTCCTTCGGGCACAGCCGCAATTTGGGAGGGTACGAGAATAATTTGATGCTGTGTCCATTACCGACCAAATGAAGACAAGATAGATGTTGTTTTAAGGACAGCTGTAGCCAGGAGGGATACAAATACTTTAAAAAAAAAAAAAATCATACAGGAGGCTACTGAGGGAAAGAAAGGGGTGGCTTCCGTGGGCGGGGGGGGGGGGGGGGGGAAATTATGTACGTTTCCCAATGGTCCCTAAAGGAAGGAGAGGCACGGGTCTCCATTTCTTTCCCATGCTTGGGGCCCTTTTGGCATTCATTTCACTATATTTATATCGTTATACTGAGTGAGCCAAGAAGAAGAAATGTATCCCAGTAAATACACATTTTAACTCTAAAGAAGGAAGTTTCCTCTTCACTTGGAGGAATCAGGGGGGTCACGCAAAAGCACTGGGTTATAGGGTCCCCGTAAAGCTGCTGAATCAAAAGCCAACCGATATTTGCATTAAAGACGTCAAAAAAGCATTATTCAAGGCACTGGTGTTCCAAGGAGAAACGAGAGAAATACATGTACAAATCACACGATTTAGTTCCGTTGCAGAAAGCCGTGGCACTGCTACGTGGTGAAATGCAAAACTATCATGGGATGAGTCAACCATGCAAAGCCAAAGCAACAGCAGAAACAAAAAAACAAAAGCAAGTAAAGGCTCTTACTGTGCGACAAGCTCGTCAAAGTTTTCATCGGGGCAGTATTTGCGAGGACGGCCTCGTTGAATATGGCGGCCACGTTTAAACTCTTCATCATCAACTGTCCAAAAGGACCCAAACTCATCCTCTACTCTGATAAAGCACTTATGCAGTGAGAGGTTGGTGCGAATGGCACCCTGGGATAGGAGCAGCAGCAAAGGAGATGAAGTGGCAACAAAAGGAGGCGGGGTTGGGGGCAGAACAGACATCCAATACAGGGAACAGGAGAAAGAAAATAAAATGCAATAAGCATAAGCCAATGGTTTGTGAGGGTTAATATGCATTGCCACCTAAAAGCTACTAGCATGTGATGCAACAAAGACCAGCAAGCAGGGCAGGGGGACTGGTGGGTATACAAAACAGGAGGGATGAAATGCTTTTTTGCTTCCCTTAACTGAGACAACGTGAAACCAGTTCTTTGGTCTAACACCGTCTAGCAGCCAAAAGCCTCTAGTTACACTTGTTAGCGCAATCCAAGCTAGGCTAAGAAGTTCAAACATGGTGGACGTACCCACTGATCTTTTGTGGCCTTCGTTTTTGGAACTCTACTTCATCCACTGTCCATACTGCCCCTTTAACGTTTTCTACTCGCACAAAACACTTGTGAAGACTAAGATTATGACGCACTGCATTCTGCAGCAAGTATAAAAGAGAGAACATTTACATTTTCCATAAGAAAAGACTCCAAACACAGCAGTACATTCAGCCTGACAGTCCACAGTTGTAAAACCGTCCCCGAGAACTGTAGCTCCCACCCCCATGGATGACCCTCCTGTGGTGAAGGGGGGGGGGCCCTCTTCCAAAATCAAAATCCCAAATGATGACTTACTTGTGTTTGGGCATTTTAGTCTAGTCTCTGGTGAACAGTTAAGCAGAGGAAAGATTTTTTTTAATATGCCTGTTAGCCCCCAAATAGGGTTCACGGCCAAAATATAAAAGTAACGTTAATACGACTTCAAAATCAGGAAACAGGTAAAGCATAAAACCGTCCCTTTTAAACCCACTTGTCTCTCAGACGAAAGGGGTAATTTATTTTAATTTTTCTAAACCATGAAAGATGATAATTCCTACTGTTAAATACATTTTGCTTCTTTTTAGTTCGTCGAAGTGTTGGCTTTAACACCTTCGACACATTTGCTCAGGTCTATTATGAAGAAATTGACATTGGATTGCTACCATCGAGAGTATCACCTCCTGTAGCTGATAGGATCGGGGTGGGGGGGCAGTGAGTCACATGACCCTGCAGTGGGTCAGTATCCATTATCAAGCTAGGTCTTACCTTCCCAATTATATAAATGTTGGCCCTTACTATGGGCAAGTGCTTTTAATTAACTGAGAAAATGCCAAAGGAACCCATGAGTAGAACTCTCAATGGCAAAATGAGGATACTCTAAGTTGATGGTTTCTTTCCATAGACACGTTTCTTTCTTAGGGTTCAAAGTCATTTCCCGTCACTCCTAAGCTGAGACCCTTGACATCTGTAAGGAGCATCTCAACTGCAGGGTGAAGAGTTTTTGACATCTCATCCTTCCTGAGTTTCAGGAATAATCCGCACCCCTTACTTACGCTAGGTACAGTTAACAAGCATGGCTTCATCTCTTTTTGAGTTCTCCTGGGTGAACGTGATTGACACTCAAATCTGGACAAGAGGCTATTTCAAAGAGACCCATATCATTTACTCCCAACTTTCTTCTTATAGGGAATGAGTAGGCGACAACAGGGGCTTGAGAAGTGGATACGTACACCACACCTCACATGCCTTGTAAGTAAGTCCCTCAATCCATCTGCTGCTACTGCTCACACAGTCTGTGTTCCTCCCCTTAACCTGCGATATACTTCATCCTTCCAAGTGGCAAATCTTTTTTTTTTTTTTTTTTGCGGTACGCAGGCCTCTCCCATTGCGGAGCACAGGCTCCGGACGCGCAGGCTCAGCGGCCACGGCTCACGGGCCCAGCCGCTCCGCGGCATGTGGGATCTTCCCGGACCGGGGCACGAACCCGCGTCACCTGCGTCGGCAGGGAGACTCTCAACCACTGCGCCACCAGGGAGGCCCTCAAGTGGAAAATCTTGATCTGTACTTTGAGAGGTGTTTCAGATTTTGGATGATCGCCATTAGCGACTCTGTGAGGAGTCATGCTAGAGAATGGTGATGTTTCCTGTCTGATATGGAATATTTAGAAGGTGACGAGAGAAGTGTTATCACGTGGCATGATGAACTGCCCACAAGGAGAAGCCAGAGGACAAACGCTCAAGGAATTTTTGAGGAATGTCAGCATAACTGGGGTGGGTTCAGACTTCCAGCTGACTACGAAAGGACACCCCTGATTCAAACAGGTTTGACAGGTCTAAAACAAACATCTCTGGAAAATGCTGGGCATGTTATAATTACAGTTAGTAGGGCAAATTTCTTGGCGTATAAACTGTAGTCTGGTCTTTAAGTAGGCACTTTCTTTTTTAATACTGCACAAAGGCAGAGGATAAAGGATGCTAAGGGTCTACTGTTTATCTCCTACAATGACACTGAGGAGGCTGAAATAAATAAACGCAAATTTCCTGAAAAAGAAAGAAAGACAGAGCATGTGTACCTATCAGACACCTTACTGGGAAAAGAAATCAACATCTCATCCTAATCACTGTCTAAGTTTTCCAGTAAGTATCAAAATGTACAGAAGTGTACATTGTAAAGCCATGTCTGAAAAACAGGACTGCTGTAGATCTGTCTGAACTATATAGCCGTGTAAGTAAAACTGTAAAGTCAAAACTTAAGTTTTGTTTTCGAAGACCGTGCATCCAAGCACAAGCAACTGGAAATGGAGAGTTTCCCACAAAAGCTGAGTGAACTCTTTCCACTCATGACTTTAACTGGGCATTTTTATCTTCTGTCTAAGATGACAGTACAAATAAGGACACATGGAGAAAATTATACGTATTTATGAGTCATTAAATACTTCATTTAGGACTGTTTATATGAAGGGCACTTTTCCCTGCAGTTTCTGAAAATGAAAAAGTTAAATCTGAAGATCTGAGCTTAAATATCACATTCATAACGGGTAATTATTTTAAAACTTGATCATTTGCTATTTATAAAAGGCAATCTGAAGAAAATGTCTGCCTCACGCTTATACTTCCGAAATTCTGAAAAGCATTCACAGCTGAAGACTGTTTTCTAGTTTACATCTCAAGGCAGGCTGAGGAAGAGAAGGGAAGGTTTTTGAACCTAGGTTCCTTCGGGGCCCACGTGTCTTAATGGAAACAAAAAAGCTACTTTGGGCCATAAGAGATGATTCACAGCTCCGTAAGGTTGATGAATTAATTCTTTGGTTATATTCTTTCAAAACGCTATTTGATGATGAATGTAGCAGAGGAAACAGCGTTTTCTGTTTTTGCTGTTGTTTTTCTCCCATATAAATTACGAACGGAGCAAGGAAGACCTGTATGTCCAGCAAAGCATGTTTTCCTTGCATCCTATAATAGATTCCTATCCTATTTCTAATAATAACGTGTAAAATATCCAAAAATAGTTGCATTTTAAATATTTCTAAATTTTTTGGAATTTAGGGATTACAAGAATTCTAGATAGTAGTAAAGGTGCGAAAAAAAAATATATGACTCTCAGGTTGTATCTGCTGCCCCTTTTTCTAAAGCAAAACTATTAAAAACCGAGAAATTTAAAGTGGGAAAATCCGAAGACCGGTGAGGGCTTAACCGAATACAATGGAATCACTGCTAACAGAACCTACGAACCAACTGCTGAACTGGGATTGAGGTATGTCATGGGACCGCAAGCCTTGCTGGGGGCATCCCAGGTGGAGCTATGGAATCTGACCCGTTTTACAGCAAATGCTATTACAGTCAAGTCACATATTTCAGAATTTGCTTTTCTTCCCCAGAGTGCCTATGAATATCCGATGGACAGTCTCTCGACTTACTTAAACAAACAAACAAACAAACCCTTAATAATACATATATTGGGTTCTCCTGTAATAACTCCAATATACCTTGCTAGTACTTGGAGTGCATAGGTTAAGGAGCTTACATCCAACCAGTGAAAGTTAAGTGTATCTGATCAAGTGTATCTGATCATTTCTCCAGGTTCCTGATGGTTAAAAAAAAAAACAAAAAAGTTATCTACGCATTCTCTGCAAATACTGGTGGTGGCTAAAGACGGAAAACCATGAGGTCTGTGTACACGAGACAACTTCCTACACATTCCAACCAGAGAGAGATGATTTTACTCGTTATGCCAACATAATGGGACTGTTCCATCCCAGCATTTTAACCCCAGTGGAATTCTTTTCTCAATCCAGTATGCCTACAAATTAGACTCTTTGAATGTAGCCAAACAATATGTACGTAACTTACAACACCTGCATCTTACCGACGACAAACTCTCTCCTATAAATGCCAAGACCCAAGACTCAACAGGCCTGCAAGAACGCTTACCTTCCATGTGGCAGCGTTACGCCGGAAGTAAGCAAACATTCGTGTGAACCAGTTATAGATTTCATTTAGTGTTAGCTGCTTCTCTGGAGATTCGAGAATGGCCTGTGAAGCAAAAGCAACAGAGAAAGATAATTTATGACCAAATCAACAGAACCGCCATTGTACGGTTTCTTGAAAACAGAAAATAATCGTGATGCTGAGCTAAATCCTAAGGCAGGTTTCACGAAATGCTCTAAGATTAATGGCTGTATTTACCAGTTCAATAGCAAAATTCAAAATGGAATTATCTAATTGTTTGGAGTTTTTATTTCTGTTTCCGTACAGAAATATTAATTTATTAGTCATTCATAAAGCAGAATCAAAGAGAAATGCAAAACATTTCACTAGCTGATTAAAGCTCAGTAATTATTTAGAGCTCAGATTAATTCTAGGGATCAGAGATTACTGTAGCTTGTGATAATTGACTTGCCATCTTTAAACAGGCTCATTTTCACTGTTGTGTGAAATGAATTTCCTAATAATCACATCGTATTGTAATACTTAATCAAAAGCAATTATGTTATATATTGCAGATTTAAAAAACCTTATAGAACAGGTTTTAGCATGCTTGCATACCAAACGGTTTTAAATCTACTGCATCAATATAATACATCCATGTACACCTCTACCTTCTGATATAATTTCTCATACCGCGTTATTTACTTACCTGCCTAATTAAAGATGCATATGTAAATGGTGGTCTAACTTCTGCGTTCTTATAAAATTCTTGGTTCTGCGCAATATCTGCTAAATAAGAATCATTGTCCTATTAATTATCACTTTTTACAAAGAGGCTGGTCGACAAGCATTGCTGATCACAGTTCTCCCCGAGGCAAAAATGGAGCATCTACCTGAAGAGATGGGCACGTTGTATTTGTCTGAGTACCGCCTGCGGATGGGTCCCACCGTGTGCATGCTGGTGGTGGTGATGACGGAGGGGCCTTGGGTGACGGGAGTGATGGGGGCAGTGGGGGTCGTAGGAGTATGAGGTAAGCTCTGTGGAGAAGCCTCTGACGCAGACTTGGAGAGTGTGACACTTGATACCAGATTCAGCTGTGAGGAAAGGAACAGTTCTTAGAAGACCTTCAGAAAAAAACAGAGCAACCAAGAAAGCATCTGCAATGCAGAAGGAATTAGATACAGGGGAGGCCTGGCTAGTTTTATGCCTCACAGTAGATTTTTATCAACAGCTGAAATAGGAGGCGAGTTCCCATGTAAACACCATTCACTTTCTTTACTTACTAAAATTTCTAGCATCCTGTCCTGTGATTCTTTTTTTTCTAATTTATTTTTTTATTGTAGTTGATTTACACAATGTTGTGTTAGTTTCAGGTGTACAGCAAAGTGATTCAGATACACACACACACACACACGCACACACACCTATCTCTCTATATATACCCACATATTCCTTTTCAGATTTTTTTCCCCCATGTAGTTTATTAAATAATATCTCTTACGAGGTTCTCCTTTCCTGTTGTTGCTGAGGCAGGTTTTTTGCCAGAGACAGTTAAACAAGCGTTTACAGACCCAAAAGGGGTTACCTAGCCTGGTGAGTTTGAGAAATTCTGGGTCAGGACGTTTCTTTAAGCACAGCTTTGCACCCTACTATGCCTTGTAAACCTCGAAGCGGGAGAGGGAGTCCTTGTAGCCCCACGAACGCTGATGTTTCAGGAAACGCCAGTTGGGATACATTGGTATCAACCTGAGCTCTTAGAACTTTCTGGAATGTGCTAGTACAAGCGAGAAACTGTTTTTACCTAATTTTAATAAAAAGGAAAGTTGTACTAAAATAGCCACATATAGCCACTGGCTACACCACACTGGGACGGGCTAACTCAGCTCCAGGATGAAACTTCACGGATGGGAACTACTGCTGAGAGGTTTGGCCTGTGACTTGTATTAAAAAGAGTGGCACCGGATCCAGTGAACAGCCGTTTAGTTCCATTAGTTGGCAGAGGCTAATCTTTGAAAGCTCTCTCTGTCACCTTCATTAAACTCTATCCAATATAGGATTGGAATCATTTGTTTAAAAAGAATATGGCATAAGAGAGATCTGGAACTGTAAAACATTTTAATTTTTTTCCTTCCAGTTTCAAATGCGTAGTAACAAAATGGAATAATCCAATGCTTCAAGTCCGGAAACACACACTAGTTATTTGCAGGAGCACAGAGGAAAATCAACAAGCCCTGTTTCGGTCCTTCCTTCTTTCTTTCTTTCTATCTGTTTCGCCTGCACCTTGACGTGTTTCTCTAATTAATAACTGGAAACACGAGCCTGTCCCCCTTTGCAAAAACTCGTTGCTACTGAAATATTAAGTCTGGCTACACTGAAGAACTTGGTTGTTTTCAACAGAGTTCTTACAGTTTACCCAGAGCTGCCCTCTGAGGAACTTGTAGCTGCCCCCAGTCCAAGAAAGTTTGGCAAAGTAGCCTTACTTGGTATCACTATCTCAAACCAGATTGTGAATCACTTAACAAATTAAGTCTGGTTCACCACTGCAACAGTCCTAAGTCCAAGACATTATTTGTGGAAAGTATTAAAAATGAGATTCCTCTGAGATCATAATCAAAGAACAGATTAAAAGAGAGTTCTAATTTGTTGGGAAGACTCAACCTTACTCATACCCTAGTAATGAGAAATATCAAATATCGTTGAGAAAGTATTAATGGAAATACATAAACATGGCACTGGAAACTGAACGCTGGGTTGCAAGCTTTTGGTTGGGCGGCCTTCCCTTTTCTCCCTCCCTTGAAATGCTGACTCAGCCGACACCAGACTGCCGCCGCCGCCGCCGCCGCCCCCCCCCCCGCCCCGCCCACCACCAATCCCTACACCCCCACGCTCCCCCATGCCTGATAAGAGCAAGCTGTGGAGATGGCACCACCCTTATGAATCCCCCAGCAAGCTGGGCAGATGCTGGGAGCTGCTTTTTTTTTTTATTAGTGCCGGAAACTTGACTTCGTGACACACATTTGCAAACTAAGTGCTCACGGTCCAGCTCCAGCGTAGCAGCCGCGGCGGGATGGAGCAGATCTGGGAAGGCTGGGGCCGACCTCCTCTTTGCCTTGGGCCTTCATCACTGACCAAGTACAGGAACAGCGTGTCTAAGCATCCGCCCCAGCGACGGGTCAAGGAAATCAGCGCACGGAAGGCTAATGCTCATCAGTATACAGCTTTTAAAATTCAGGCGCTCTTAGGCTTAAGAGGATCCAAACGCTCGGGAAAGTCACGGGGACCATTTGTAAAGACCACGCTGTGAAGCCCCTGCCACCGCCTGGTCTCGCTGAATTCTCATACCATCACGAATACTTGAGATGTTGTTACTCACGTTTCACAGATAAGCAAACACAGGCTCACGGGAGATTAAATAACGTGCCCATATTCACAACCTGGACTCAAAATCACATACACACTGGAGATTCTAGGCCCTCTGTATCATAGTCTCCTTACGCCCAGACAACGGGAACCATAAACAGTGTCCGGGTTCATTTTTCTGCACGCTCATTTTTGGAAGGGACCTGGGGATTAGCTTTTATCCCTGCTTATAACGGACATTCAATAAATCTTCCCCAGCAAACATACGGCAATGGGAACTGAAACGACAGAAGAAGGAACGGAACAGACAACCGCTGCCCTCGAAGGGCTTTACCGTCAAATGCAGACACTGATCAAAGGAAAACCGGCAGAGCAACCGTAAAACAATCCCGAGAACTAACTCTGCTTCTGGGCTCTTCGGTGGAAGAACAGTACCCTCAACACCACGGCGTTCTTTAAAAGGTAATGAAAATTATAATATAAATACAGCGTCCTCAGGGAATATGCACGCTCCTTTCCAGTTCCGTGAGGAAGATCACCAGGCCCACTGGGTTCTAGTTAATTGCCCAAACCCCAAACTCGTGGAAACATTCAGCAAGTGCAGGCCCATCTCTTGGGAGCTCACCTACAAGAACAGACAAGCCCCACGATACGGGTACAAAGTCATAAAACATGAAAAGAATGTCATTCTTGCAGCCTTAATACTTGGACTGGTTCTACTGAAAAAGCAACAGTCGGGAAGAAAATCCCTCCCGGGTAGCACGATCCACGAAGAAAGAGATGCAGCTGAATTTTCTGGAGGCTCTGAAACACAGGTACCAAATGGAAATCAACACCAAGCCAGAAGAGAGCAGAGAGGGCTTTTTTTTTTTTTTTTTTTTTTAAACCAGGCTTGACAAATGACACCGTGATTCACACCCACTGCTGGGCTGTCTCTAATAAGCCACAGAGGAAGTAGCCAATCTCGCCTAATTGCCAGATAAAAATGTATTGTAAGGACTCTAATTAGGAGACGCGGATGGAGGTGATCTAATGATTAAATGCTGCATTCGACTGACCCCACCATCAATGTGCAGCGGTGCAAGATGTCACTGGAATATTTTGTAGAAACAGTAATTTTATTTCGAGGAGGGGAGGCAGTAATATTTGTAATGATGGCTATGAGGTAAACTAATTAAAAGACAGTTCCTAGAGGAAGAGGGTGGCTGAGAGCAGCTGTGGCCATTCCAGAACCAAGTGCCAAGTCTCCACAGAGGAACTGCAGTCAAGTGGAAAATTTCTGCCCGACCTCTGCCCCTGCTATTAATTTGCAGGAAAACTAATGACACATATACATATTCCCACAGAATTGTTCTAATTGCTAATTTGCCAAAGGAGCCCCGATTCCAAATTAAACACGACTGTAGCCTGCGAGGGAAGAAAGAACAAAAAGCGGTAAACTCCAAACACAGGGTGCCTCGCCTCGCGAAATCATCTGAAGGCTGACCCAACAAGTTAATGAAATGTCAACCTTGTCAACGGCGATCGAAGTTTCTTAACTTTTAAACTCCGGCTGGATGATCACATGCTGGTCTCGAGGAGAAACCATCTTTGGGGAGGAAGGTCACGAGGGAGTGATAAGATGCAGCAGGGGGAAGGTCTCAAGATAGGCTCTGCGTTCAAACCAGACCTGCTCTTTTCATTAAGGTCTCTCTCTGCAAAAACTGGACCCCCTACGCCCCCCGCCGCACACACAAATTAATCACAGACTTAGAACAGCAGAGCAAGCCGGGAACGGTGAGGGGCGTGCGGCAATCTTGCAAGATTCACCTGAACTGTAAACTCTTAAAACTTAATAATATAATCATCAATTAGAAATGAAAGCACGTGTGCTTCGTGTCTCTGACTGTAGCTCAGGTTGGGAGAGAGAATGTTTTCTCTTCCGGGGCCTGGAGCAGGAAGGGATGGGGACTCTGGGAGGGTTTCTTTTCCTATTTTTCAGATTGTGTTCATTTTCTATTTAAAAAGAAGTTGCTATGTTTAGAAAAGTTAGTAACTCTGATATTTTCTACATGGCAAGTTTCCATCATGTGATGATTTGGGCAAAGATAATCTCTTTGAAACGCCGGCCAAAAGCTTAAATTCTTATGTCACTTAAGATTGCCGTTGGGCTTTATTTTTTATTTTTTTAGTTTCTATGCGCTCTCAACCGTCGGCCTTTCTCCCAGGTCAGTTCCAGGGATGACTGTCCTAGAAATCTTACCCATCCCAACAACTGGAACCAGATCAGCTGCCCGGGACTCTGCCGAGCCCCTCTTCGAAAGATTTATCTTTCGTTTTTAAACAGTAACCTCCTCTCTCTCTTTTAAAGACGGTGAGTCACTCCCATTTTTTTAAAGATCAACAAACGGCTGAGGTAAACCCCAGACAGAAACAGACTTGTAAGCATTCCCATAAGGACTCATCTGGATTTTTGTTTGTGCTCTTGCCTCGCTTCAGAACAGATGCTGAGGACAAAAGGCCAACCTGAAACCCAGACACCGAGGGACCCAGCCGCTTAGTATGGACTTCGGGGCTCACTCGCTTTTCTGCTGTTGGTTCGACTGGCCTGAGCAGGTGAATCCTAGACACGAATCCCTCGCCTTCAGAGGTGGCCTTTTCTGAGGCTGGAGGGACGGGAAAGATGTTACCAGATCGTGGCAGGGGGTCGGGGGGTGGCCTTGGGGAGAGCTCTCTCTGCCTGGTCCCGCTACTGCCTTAGATCTGGGCCCTGGCGCGCGGCAGTGACCGAGGACGTGGTCGTCAGGATGAACCTCAGGGTGGGGGACTTCGCGAGAAACAGTATAGAAACATCCCTTGTGTGTGTGTGTGGTGCTTGCGAATCTCTCTTTATGACGGCATCAAATTATTCCCCCAACTCAACAGCCAGGCTGCAGCGAGCAGCCCACAAAATCAGCCGCTTCGTTGAGAGACCCCCCCCCCCCTTTTGCGGAGCGGGGGGCACGGGGCGAGGGAACACACGGACGGACACTCTCTCTCTCTCTCTCCCCCTCTCTGTTTTTATTAGTAGCTAAAAACTATTTCCAAACAGTCCTAATTGCTACGGTTGGAGGAAACGAGAATGCGTGCAACGGAAAATCTAATACTGCCTTTCGCTTCAAATAGCCAAGTTCTTGTGTTTTACAACATGTCCATAAAGGAGACAGTACCTACGCTGTAACCGGCTGTCCACCAAATCTGAGGGCGTGTGGTTTCTCCAGCGCTGGGAGCTGTTCTCCGGTGGGTCGGAGGAACACCCTAAAGCAAAGCCTACCTCTTACGTTCTCAGGATTATAGAATATGACCTACGGTATTTTCCTGACCTTATGATAGTGAAAAAGTCTTTTTCAAAAATCCTTAACAACTTAATAAAGTATTATTACAGACATGTTTCTTGGTGGTGGTGGTGGTGGTGGTGATCATTTTATCCTCTGAGTGAGGCCTCCCTCCAAGGACAAGCATTCACCCCCAAGCAATCCATTTTGGTGTTTACCTCGAGAACATGAAGTGGTACCGAGTTTGGAACAAAAGAATATCATTCTCATCAGGACAGTTTACGATCGCCTGATTTTTGGCTTGTGCTTCTCTGAACACGGAAAAGACACGAATCTTTTAAATCGCCAACGTACAATACACGTGGGCCATTCTGTACGTATGTCAAGCCCGCCTTCGCCCACTGTATGTCCCCCATTGCTAGAATGTACAGCTCTGTTCTGGTAAACTTTTCCAAGCAGGGGCCAGCCTTAATAGAATTAAAAGCTTCTAAGTAAAATTATGACAAACGAAAAGCTTATTTCAGCCGCTGTTGGCCATTCCTTTCTCCCCTCCACTCTGATCATCTTCACACACTTTCCCAGTTCCCTTCCTCAGAGACACAGACACACGCACCTACCCTTAACCCGAGAAAAGAGTCACGAAACTCGCTTCTTTCCACTTCTTCCCATTCATCTTTTAGCTTTCACCTTAGATGTCACCTGTCCCAGAAGCCTTTCCTCAACCCCCACCGTCTAGGGCAGCGGTCCACACACTCACTCCCCGAGAGCACAGCTCATGCCAGGGAGAGCCTGGGAGTGTGTCTTTGGTAGTTGGTCCCACGAGACCCCAAACACCTCGATGGCAGGGATGGTTCTGTCTGGTGTAATTTCCCTACGTCTTCCTGTCGCACGTCCAATAAATATTCGTTGACGCAAGAATTCGATTTTAAATTCAGGAATTCTCTTCACGAAAACAGCGTGCACTGCAGTTTGAGTCCTGGGTATAATTACGAAAGGAAAGGTTTTTATCGGTTTAAAAGATTTTCAAGCAAGCGGGAGGAGATGTTATCGGAGGCACGTGTGGAACAGGACCGCCGTAAACCCCTATTCAGTTCCTCTCCACGCCTTCCAGTGGGAGTCGCGCTCGGACCCACGCCTAAAAACTTGGGATTCTCCCGAGATGAGCACAGCCTCTGATTAGCCAAATGGGAACATGAGTTCCACAACAGCATCCAGCGAACACGTCTACGGGCTGCTGTCAGAACAATCCAAGAAGGTTTTGGCAGTGAAATGGGAACTGGTTGGATGACTGGACACAGCAAATGACACTTACCACCCAAATGGCATTTAGTGAAAAGCAACGTTTACAGCAAAGCATTCTATCACTTAGTGACTAAGGATTTTAAAATAAACACCGAGTTCCTTTTTAAACAGAAATGGAAAAAAAGAAAAAGAAAAAAAAAAACACTCCACAAACTTCCTGGCAAGACTCTTAACATGAGAGTCCCCAGCTAAGGTTAGATCTGATTCCCAGGGACTGCTTCCTTCAAATCAGAGAGTCTAGAACGATAAGGCATCTGAACATACACCGTGCGTTCTACTATTTCAGGTGGAATAAATCAGTTACAGGCAAAAGGGAGTCTTCTGCACCTTAGAACCGATCATCAGATAACTCTGTATCCCTAAAGTTGAAGGCATCAAGGGTTTGCTCTACGTCTGTCCACCCCTCCCCTTTTGTTTGGGGCAAAGAAGTAAAAATGTATGCAAAACACTACACGTCGGCCTTTTATAATTAATTTCCCAATGCCTCACCTATACGTATTTTAATAATTCCCGATTTATAAGATGGTATCTATAAGAAAATTTTCTATTTTCCAATGAATGAAAAGAAGGCAGCTTCTTCTCTCTGGCAACAAGAGTGTCACACAATACCTGCTTGTCAGGCACCAATGTTTACTTCTTACATGTAAGTTAAAGGATAAGGAATTTATAATGCTGCCTGTGAAGGGAACCACTTTTCATACACAAATGTGATCTTTTTTTTTTTTTTTTCCCAAAGGGTAATACAACAGTCCATTTACATAAACTAATCCAAACAATCTATGTATTTGACAATGGCAAACCTCACACAGACGGCCTATTGTTGGTTTACATCTTGGAGTTCTTTATATTGGCTTGTAGCGCGGCTCTAACTGTCAAAGGTTTGACTTGGACTCCAAATAAATGGTTATAGAAGTGCTGTGCAGCGATATTGGACTTCTTTGCAAAAGAAGACCTGCTGCGTATGAATTCAAAAGCTATTAATTTTTCAGTCAAAAATATTCGTGCCTATTTCTTTTAATAAAGAAATACTGTGCTGAGCTACTAAGAGATAATGTTGACTAGTGGTAGAGAATTTTCAATAGAGCAGTTAAAAATAAATTTAGTAGGAGGTCCCCCTTCGAAGTTATAATTTTCTAGCATGTAAAACATTTTTTTAAATACTAATCAAGACAAACCTTCCTGCCCTGTGCATTTCCCCCAGGACTGCACTTTCCTGTTTATAGGCTGCCTAACACGGGTCCTCATGGAGATTCCCAAGGGTCCCTTTTGTGGCCTATGGAGGCCTATGTATATGGCGCTCCCTGCCGGCATCCGGCGCCATCGCTCGCTGAGTGCCCCGTGGGGTTTTGCAATTCCTTTCCTGCTTTTATCCCTCCTCCTCCCAAGGAGCCTCATGATCCCAAATGAGTATATTCCTAGAGTGCGGAGTCCAAACATTATTCTGGTTCTCACAGTTAATATCTAACCTCATATCATTGTTTTTAATCCACGGAGGAAGGAGGAGATAATCTCATTCTCTCCCTTGTTGCTAGTTTTAGAGATGCAAACCCTTCAACCTGGGGAAAACCATTTCCCTAACCAACGACAACCATCTGAAGACTTCCAGAGAGTTTCAAGCTCCCTATACCCGCTGGAGAACTCAGTGGAGTCATGCCAGGGTCTTACCAATTTGCTTACCTGGGTTCACAGTATTCCCAGGACCCTCCTTAAAAGAAGGGGTTGACAGGAATAGCACCGAGAGCACAGCTGACTACTGACTCCACGATACTGAATGGCCTCCCCCTGCCCCCCTTTCTCTTGGGTAGCCTACACATTGGGTCCTACAGCCGTTTACCGCAAAATACATGGAAACCGAGGGCTCTTCCCTAGTAAAAATGGATGTGCAAAGTGTTTAATGATTTTATGTCCTATATCTCAGTAATGTGTTCTGTTTCAGACATTAATTTTGTCTGCCAACTGCATCTTGGCAGGCTACCATATTTGCTGGGTTAATAGTCTGACTCCGTTTTATTTCTATCACTATAAATCATACATGTATGGGTGTATGTTTGCTTTATTTATAGGAAAAAATCAGTCAAAACAGATAAACCAATACTTTGCCATTACGCCGCATCACTGCATATTGATTAAAATTGCTGGTACTAACTATAGATTGTCAACGCTCAATTAATTTTCACACAGTGACTCCAAGCAACATCAAATAAAGGCAGCGTACCCTTAAATTTTACAAATCTTAAAAATCAAGAAGCAAAGCACTCTCTCCATTGTGAATAACCAGTTGAAGCTACTAGATTTTGAGAACTGTTACGTGTACAAGAAACACAACTGTGAAAGCGATCAATCTGCAACAAGTAATGACGCCTAAGACAGGATTTGGGGTTCAGCTACCACCCTTCCACTTTGATATTAACTGTCTGTGCTTGGTGACGCTCTTGAACGTCAAATAAAAGGGAACAAGGCAAGAAGTAAGAGATTGCTAAAAGTGAAATGTAATTTCAGGGTACCATGTTTGGTCTCCTCACTGCGAAGGAGTAATTTTCACTTCAAACTCTTTAGTGACCGTTAGATGTTCTCCGTAATTATAGCCTCTGACTATTCCGACAGTGTGTTTCCTCTTTCTTTCCCTTCTTGCAGTTAGGCTGGACTGGACTATCCCTCACTCCTTTTCTCACACCCACTGCCTCTTGGCTAAACCATGCTGACATGCCTTTTTCCTCTGCTTTCCTGGTCTGGCTGTGTTCTCTCTGTGTTTCCACCATTGAGAAATCAGAAAGGTTGCTTTCTGTTCTGTTCTGTTTTTTCCCTTCTAGTGAGCTCTCGTAATATGTTTTAGTACCTTGGCGTAGCATCAATCATGTGTCCCAAAGAAGAGCTGATGGTGGGGCCTCGTGGCTAGCGACTGTGCCTGAATCATCCCATATCTGTCTCCCTAAATGCCCAGCACACTGCCCTCTTCATAAAAGGTAATCAGAACCAGATGGAGCTTAAGTCTGTCGCTACTCAAAGCTGCCAGACTAGGCAATCCTCCGTCCTTGGGGTAGGGAAGCAGAGAAGCAACACTGTAGGGTTCCCCACGGGTGTCATTCAGTACTTACGGGCTGAGGGGCAGTTTTGGGTTCCGTAGACTTCACGTGCAGGTGGGTCATCATGGCCTGCAGGCGCTCTTTGTCTTTTGCAAGCTGGTAGGGAGAAGACGCTTTGTTATTTCTTTGAATGCAGATGCAGTACTCCTTTAACATCCCAAATGATACACATTCCAAATTACACTATGGCCCCCTGGCACACGACAAAATGTGCATCACTGCTTAATCCTTTTGAAATCTATACGACCACTGCCAGACTCCGAGTTACTAGAGGTGTTAGTGGGCGATTTCTCCACACAAGATGCATGAGCCTTTAACTGGGAAGTCGTAGACCTGCTGGCACCAAGGAGTCCCATGGAACACAGACAGCTACGAGACAAAACCGTGAATCACGCCTGTTAACCAACCTGATTCATGAGGAAGCCAAAGGAGAATAAGCTAGGGAGCTAAAAACTCGTAAATTCATCCATTGGGGTTGTGGAGAAACTCCTAGGCACACAGATACACTTACGCAAAATTAACTCCATCTTTCTTCACAGGTAGGCACAGGTGAAGACAGTACTGGCCAGCAACTTTGGCAAGGCAGGCAGAGAGCCCCCATTTTCGAGTGAATGCAGAAAAAGCTTACTCATTTCACGGACTCAGTATGTGAGTACCTACTATGTGCTAGTCTCATCGTACCAAAACTTCAAGTCTCCTCATTCTATCAAACGTTATCTTCTGAAGGCACATGAGTTTCTAATTGGATGTATGCAGTAGGCACTCAGACACTACTTATTACACGCTGCCTTCTTTATGCTTGCCGTGGACTCTTTCATACACAATGGTATCTTTGATAGTTCAAGATCGTTGAGCATAGGGGACATATGACAATTACGTCTGTAAAAGAAGTGGGAAATGTATCCCCCAAAGGTACAGATATTAAGAGAACAGCTGTAGAATTTTGGGGAAATGCAGAAGAGATTAATACCAGAGAGAGAAAGGGGGGTGGGAGGAAGGAAGGGAGGGAGGGAGGAGAGGAGGAAGAGGGAGAGGGAGAGGGAGAGATAGAAAAAAAAAATCTTAATTCAGTACTTTTAAAGACTATTTGTCCAAAATAATGCCTTAAAATTGGAGAGAGACGCATTCCATCAATGTCACATAATTAACATTAAACCTTTTAAATAACAATTAATTTTTTAAGTCTAAAATTATCTGCCCCCCCCCCCCGATCAAGTAAGACTCACATTTTTAAAGCAAAGTGTGTTTTAAGGGAGGGGTATGTTTCAGGAATTGGGGCAAGGCAGAGAAAAGGGAAAGGGTACAAAAACAAGAAAGAAAAAGCTTTCGGCTTATCCTAACTGGATGACTCAGTCTCAAGCCATATCACATTTGATTTTTTTTTTTTTCTTTTTATTCCCTTGTGGTTCAGGGAGGAATAAATTAAGAAGAAAGAAAGAAAGAAAGAAAGAAAGAAAGAAAAAAGCCTTCTAGTGTTAGCATTTATCTTTCAACAAACAGGAAATGAAAATGATACCATATTAGGAGCCACTTTATGTTATTCACCCTCTGTTCTTTAGTCAGTTATTGAACAGCCAAACTAAAAGATGCTCTGAACACATAATGCTAAAGGAATTTAGTTTTCCAAAGTGGCTCAGTCAGAACAATTAAAATGTTAGCAATGGCATTTTTCTAGTTATTTGTTTTTTTATGTAAGTGTCCTAAGTTTTTCGACGTTACAACTAAAACATTCTTAGATTAAGAAACATGTTTTGTTTTAAAATTACTGTGGAGCAGAAGGAATGGAGGCATATATGTCGTTCTTTTTAAAAACAAGAAGTGGGCTTCCCTGGTGGCACAGTGGTTGAGAGTCCGCCTGCCGATGCAGGGGACACGGGTTCGTGCACCGGGCCGGGAAGATCCCACGTGCCGCGGAGCGGCTGGGCCCGTGAGCCATGGCCGCTGAGCCTGCGCGTCCGGAGCCTGTGCTCCGCAACGGGAGAGGCCACAGCAGTGAGAGGCCCGCGTACCGCAAAAACCAAAACACACAAACAAACAAACAAAAAACAGGAAGTAGTCTGTTGTACTGAACGTTACAAATTAAAGGGTGGGAGGTGGTATTTACTGAAGAGTCTGATGAATATTAATCGTGACTTAATTTGGGGGTAAACACTCCTGATGGAGCAATTACAAAGACCAAGTAGAGGGAAATCCAAATTCCCAGCACCAAAAGAAACCATCACCTCTCTCTTCCTTCCAGATGTCTACCAGGCTGACCTTTTACTGATCAAAGGTGGTAATACCACGTGGCAAACACGTAACCTAGAATTTGTATACCCAGCCACCTCCATAACCCTGGTGGTTCACTGCCGCAGGGAATCTTTTCTTATTTTCCCATGTGAATATTACTTAGAATTCATCGTCCATGTTGAGAATTATCCAGGTTCCTTATTTTGCCTCAACCTCAAGCCTACCATCCTAGTTCTGCTTTACTATGGAAAGATGGGCAAGGCTACAGGAAGAGGCAAAAATCCAAGTTTTTGTTGCTGTTTATATGAGTGTAAACTAGCATGTCCTATATATTCTTGGAAGGGTTTTGGATTTTTATCATCAATAACAGCTCTAACTCTACCACAAACTGTTTTAACAATTGAAGGAAAATATCCGCCAAACTCACCTTTGGGGTTTTTTTTAATGCAAAATGGCTAAAAACTCACACCCAGTGAAACCACCTCCTCTGTCTCAAGCGCCTGTCTTGCATTTACAGTACTCACTGGTGCTTCGAAAAGCCTGCAGATTCTTTAGCACTTTTTATGCCATCATTCCATGAGCTCACCACCCCCATCGATTTTCATGGCATCCCTTCATTATTATAATATGGGAATACAAACATTTAAGATTAGCAAATATATTCCAGCGTTCCCTCTACTGAATCCCATGACAAGCAAAGAAAAGGAAGATGGGAAATTCAGTCCGAGGGTCAACTAAAAATGCAGCTGACAAATTTACCCGTCTTTTTATGTTGTGATATCAAGAGAGAATTACCCTCTCAAAGCTTTCCCGGTGGGTACAGGAGCACCACCTAGCATAAAAGGAATGACAACAGGACACACATTAAGGGGAGCTGCTTGTGCAGCGTTTGTTTACATTAGCACGCTTGTGCCCCCGTTCTGCAGAATGACAGCAGACTCAAGAATGGGCTAAAAAGGACGTGGACCCAACAAGCAGACTTCGATGGATTTGAATCCGGGCTCTGCGACTCTGAGCACATTATGTAACCTTTTCAAGTATTTTGTTTCTCCTTCTAAATATGGAATAATAATCTCTGAACTTCCAAGAGTTGTTCTGAGGATTAAATAAATTCTTGCACATAACAAGCTTAGCATAGAGCCTAGCGCTTCGAGAATGCTCAAAAAAACCTAATTCCTTCTCTCTCGTTTTTTTTTTTTTTTTTTTTTTAATAGGAAAGTTAAATCAGTCAAGTCTATCTAGACTCCTGCTGGCTGAGTATACGTTAGGAATCTGGATCAACATAACAGGGGTTCGATGGAGTTTGCAGCTGGGCTAACTGGGGAGAGAATTTTGATGCTTTAAAGAAGGGAACCAGAAGCGCGGGAAAGATAAGCCCATTTCTCACGGATTTACTTCCTTGCTTCTCACTGTTATCTGTCCCTCGTCCTAAGCAAATGCTTTTTCTCCTCTCGGCTGATATAGGCCATCCCCTTTTCTATTACCCATGGCCTCAAGTTAGGCTTTAGACAGTCCACACTGGGCAAGACCGTAACGGGGGTCTCGCTCCAGACTTGCTGATAACTGCCGAAGGCTAGGGGCCCCGTGCGCCACCTTCAAAGATAAAAACTAAGGGAGATTACGTTCATCCTTTCAGCAGAGAAAAGGGAACGTGGTTTGGGGTTCACTGAACACAATCATTCTCTACACTGTCAGGACTACTCATTTTAAGCCCAATTTGGCGGTTCTCACTTGTGAGAAAAGAAGTCTTGAAATAAGCGAAGGATTTGGGATGTGGGAAAAAATGCTGGAATTACTGAGGATGGAGAGAAGAAGGGGCCCGGCCACTCATTCGATTTCACAGAAGCCCAGACGGCTGTGGCTAGGTCAAGTCTTCCGTTCCTCGTGTCGTGTTTTACAGCTGGGGAAACTGAGGCTGACGGGGGGAACTTAACCCGAGGTCGTGGAGCTGGGAAGGCGCAACGCTAAGGCTAGAATCCCGGTGACAGGATGCTTGGTCTGACCTTCCGACACTGCTGTGATCCCAGACATCACCTGGGACACTGCCTGGGAACCCAGATCTCTCTGCCTCTCTCCCTGCCTCCATGCTGCCCTCCGTAGGCAGAACCGCGGGCAGTGGGGGCAGGGTGGAATGTGCAGTGTCACCCAGGTTATGAGGCGGCGAGTCCGGATTAGTGCAGTGGTGACCCCCAGATTCACGGGGATCTGACCTAATCTTGCTGAGCCCAATCCTCCAGGGGACAGACGAGGGAATAGGTGCTTCTAAGAAAGACCCCAAGGGTCCAAGTCTAACGAGGTACGTTGGGAAGACACCACTCTCTTCCAGTGGACTGAGCGTGCCTCACGGGGGGGGGGGGCGGTCTAGACTTCCTCAGCAGCTTCGCATACAGTGACGGCCCCAACAGAGCTGACGGAGGAAGAATGGATCTTGTCACCTGGGGTCTCTTACGGGCGTACGATCCAAAGGAGAAAAACAAGCCACAAAAAAAAAAAAAGAAAAAAAAAAGCGGCAACTGGAAGGAGGAGAAATGAAACTCTTCTAACCAAGCTGAGTATTTACCAAATAGCTATTTTCCAGCCACTGTCTCTAACTGTGGTCATTCGCAGGCCTTCACAGCTCGGTCTTGAAGGCCAACTCCAGCTCTCAGGGGGTAGGCAACCTACGGCTCATTTCACCCCAATCGAAGAATTTCTCGACTTTTACTGTATTCTGTCACCATCTTAACATTCCTCACATGTTATTATTAAAGACTCTCTTGACATTTCAAGCAGACGCACACTGATACTCTGTCATAGTCTAGGAATTCTAATGCTCCTGGAGTAAAGCAGGATTTTAGACTATGAAAAAGCAGCGTCTTGGTCTTCCA